TATATATATATATAACTCTCGTGATTGCTGGCGTTGTCCTCAATCTGTGCTTGGGGAATGTGAAAAACTTATCCCTTTCTTTTATATCTATCTATCTATCTATCTATATATATATATATATATCTATATCCACACCCCGACATACAATCTTGTAGAACAATTGGCTGGTTTGTGCTCTTGCAAATCAGCAGTCGTGCTAAGCTAGTAACAAGTGGGTGCTGATGTCATTTGAATAACTGAAATTTATGTTTTAGTAGAAGTAAACATGATTATCTATCTATTTAAAAAAAGCTTCAGGTTTTCACGTTCCCGAAGGGCAGGCGTTGAGAGCGATGCCACAAATCGTGAGAGTTGGCGGCGCTGCGTTTCTGCGGGCGCTTCTCTGAGTCCGTGCCAGTTTATGTCTCTCTCCAGTGTATTTATATTTCTCCCTTGGTTTTTCCCTTGCTTTGCAGGTTCTGGGGACGCGGTCCCACCACCGGTCTACGGGCGAGTTTCTGGAGGCGAAGGGGGACTGCGGTGGGGGTGTTCGCAGGAGACGGTGCCCGTGACATTTCGCTTCCTTGCGGGGCTGGAGGGCGGATCGGTGCCCTGCCGTTGGGTGCCGGGCAGCAAGAAACCTCGATGGCACGCCAAGCTGCTCGTCCGTTGTCATAAACAGTCGAGGTTCGTATCATGATAGCGAAGGAATCCGCGTGCAGAAGCAGGCATGGGCTTAGCTGCCTTCTGCTCCCCCGGGTACCCCAAACAGCTGGCTGCTGCCCAAAGTTTCTTGTGACATGGTGCCCTGGAGAAAAACTGAAGCGTGCCTTTCAATCTGAAACAAAGACCTAAAACAAACTGAGAAAGCCGGAGCCATCATCTTTGTGGTGTCTCCAATCCAACCTTCCCACATGGCCTGTTCCCAATATTCTGCACCGCTTTTGGTGTTGGTGTTGCCAGATCTTGCGGGGTGCACTGTGGTGCTCCAGGGCATCTCGGGAGATGATCCAGGGTTTGCTTCTCCTGACAAACGCTTCGGTCAGTTGTGTAGAGGCCCCTTGATTTCATGAGAAGGTTGCATCTGCCGAGACCCGCTGGAGTGAGGGCTGTGGACAGAGTTGCTGGTGTCGTGCCATTGCACAGGAACGTTGCAGGAAGCAATCAATCTGGTTTACAAGAAAAAAACATACGGAAAGCAAGTGTTGGGTTGTGCCATCTGGGGCTGGCTGTCTACGTAGGCCATAGCTGTAAAAACCTAAGAAGAAAAAAGTGTAAGTTCTCTTGTGAAAATTAAGGTTAAGAAAAACCCCACTGAATTAATCTCAGGCAGTTTTTCATTTTAGGGCACTTCTATTGGAGTTTGTGGCAATGAAAATTTGAAGTGCTACTTGGATTTGCACTAACTAGTGAAAGTCAACGAATATCTACTTTGGAGACCTTTTAACAAGAGGTTTTCAAGAACCACGAAGAAAATGCTGACTCAAAACATTTAAATGTCAAAGGAATTAAAAGTGGAGATACCTTGTAGTCTAATTGGATTTCTCAAGATGAGTGGGACCTCTGCTGTCCTTTGTCTTTATCTTTTTTATGGATTAATGCAAGAGGCAGAAACATCTATCCCAAACTGTATTCCCAGAAAAACAGTAAAATACCAAAGTAAGTGTGATCATATTTGCAGGTAAAAATGGATGCTGAAAAGTAGTACAGTTCTGTGTGCGCTAGATATGACATGATTACTAGCTGACCTAATACAAGAGTTTCTTCATTTTCACAGTAAGCGTCTGGCCTAGGTGACAGCATTATGGACCCAATCTCCTGAAAAATGTGATGGTTAAAAGGTGTTCACAGCCATACGTTGGGTTTTATATGTTGTCTGAAAGATGGTACCACCTTCTGGGGACACACACGGGGTTTGCCATCCCTCGGTTACATACCCCATCCAAATACTAGCACGTTACACGCCTGCTAAACTTGTGAAACCTGACACACAGAGAAGAATTTCCCTTTTCATGTAGACCTTTTGTGATCTTTGTGAAGAGAAATAGCTTGATACCACTGTACTCTCGCACAAATTGCCGTGCATTTTTGTGATTAAACCTAGTGGGTAGGGATCGCAGCATGTAACCAATAATGGATTCGCATGGTTTATTTTCGTGTGTAACGTGGGGAACGCAACATTGGTACACAACTGAAAATGATTTAAAGCACAATCCAGGAAAGCTTTTAAAGCCTTTTTCTCATTGCTATTTAGGATGTGATGGCAATGGTATTCTAGCATTAAATAGTTTAAAAAATAACTTTAAGTGTCTTTGTTTTTAGATGGAAACATCAAAACTTTTATGAAACATAGATTGTCCAATTTTTCCACTCTCTTGGTGAATGAAGAAACTGGTACCTTATTTGTGGGAGCCAGAGATGCTGTATTGGCTCTTGATTTAGAGGACATCTCCATAGAGAAAGCCAGCGTAAGCTAAACAATTTGCTTCTTTAGAAAATATTTTGCTTAGTGTTACGTTGATTGGGCATCATCTAAGTTTTCATCTTAAATATATCAAAGCATCACTATTTCACATCTTAAAACTGTTACTAGGAGTGAGGCATCCAATCCTGAGAGCGGGCTAACTCACAATTGCTCATACGAGTCAGAATTTGCAGAATTGAGACCAACAAACGGAATGCATGTGGACTTGTTCGAAAAAGTAAGGCCCTTGTGTTTGCTTGCTGCCTTGACCATGCGAAGTGTAGAGCGCTGTTGGCATCGCTTCGTCTCTCAGAGCCTCTCTAGACGGGTTTCCCTTTTTGTAGGGTCAGGCCCCAAATCATCTTATTTAGTGATAAAAGGTTACAGTCTCCATGCCATTGATAGAAGCACAGTGCTATCGCTTAACCCCCAAGCAATCTCTTGACTAGAATATCTCACAACCTGCCAGAGCCTACGTATGGAACAAAATCCTAAAATAGCACAATATATTATTTTATTGAAATGTTTTCTTAAGTCCAGAGTAAGCCACTATTTCTGTTCAAGATAGTATTATGTATCACTCAGTGCCTGCCTAGCCCTTCTTCATGTCTCTTTGTAAAAACCATGCCATAGCTGTTCCACGAAGCGTTCACAGTGATAAAGGCTTCAGCCCGCTCTGTCTTTGCTCTGTTGGGCAACACTATTTTTTCCTGTTGTGCAGCTGTGTGCAGTACTGATTTGTGCTGTAGACTTAATAGCTTAATGTTTAGAGGTACTGAGCACCCACAGCTCCACTGACTTGAAACAAAAGGGATTTAATGCTTTTTGTTTTTAGCATCCTCTCTCATGAAACACATTTCATGATTTGGCATTTTTATGTAAATAATTTACAAGAGTAGAAATGAAAGAATAAAAAATGTTATGAGAGGGTATAAATATGCATGAGATGTGAAGGACATGCCTTCTGATGAGGACATTGTGCAAGCTGCAAGGTTTCTGAGATGTGTGATCCTGTTCCCCCCCCCATTCAAATTCATGAGAAAACATGAATGTGCTTACTTTTGTACCATGCCACTTATTCAGCTTGAAGATAAAGTCGCAGCAAGCAGGAGGAGGACTCATCTACATTTTGCATTCACTCTTTTTTAGAAACTCAGGGTGGACCTGGATTATACTTAGGTGCCTAATTAGGTAGAACAGGATCTGGCTGTAGATGCCTCTGCAGAGCTGCAGTGGGTCAGTAGGACTCTCGACATCATCTCCAAGTGCCCATACAGCCCTCCTTCGGGCACCTGAGGTCTTATTGGCATTGACCACTCTGCCTGTCGCTGGCTTTCTGGCCCTCGTGCTTCCAGCATACGAGTGTGGCGACGCTCGCTTCATCATCGGTAGGACTCTGAAAGCCTGCGGGCAGCCTGTCAACACAGAGCAGCTGATGACAGCATTTGAATATTTTGCAGGATCTACAGGGGAAAACTGCTCTTTACAATATCACCACATGGCTCAAGTGGTGTCATCATATGCAATGAATGTATAAAATGTGTTTCTAGCCGTCCATGTCCATTTGTGAGAGCTCTCAGAGTTTCCATAAAGGCCAGCGCCAGCCCGGGCGGGGGGGTCGCCACTAACCGGAGCTTTGTGTTCTTTTGAAAGCGGTCCGAGAATTTGAAGCAAGGACTTACACATCTGATTCTGAAGCATCTCTTCTGTTACCAAAACCACAGCTAATGCGCCTCGCTCCGTGTGGGCTCCGTCGCGTGTTTATTTGCAGGTAGCACTGACTACCAAATACATGTCTTTCTGTGGTCACTAACTCTAGTCCCCTCTCCTTATAGAGCAGAACGACCCCAGTTCTGTTGCAAGGGGAACATCCACAGAGAAGAATCTGGTTTTTCTCCCTCAACAAAATTAAATTTCAAATGTATTTTGTTTTCATTTCATACTTGGAATTTTAGACCCAAAAATGCAGTGTACCAAATGTGGTTTGTTTTTTGGATTTCAGGTGTACTGGTTCAGTTCACAAGATAGACAGCAGGATTGCATTCACAGAGGAAAGGGCAAAGTAGGTAAAGTGTTTGTTTTCATGAATGAGTTATTGAGTTAGTATTAGCTATCACACTGAGTACTGTTGAAATGAATAGGCTTGCTCATGCTCAAAAGGCACCTGTTCTTATGTGCTTTTTTGAGTCAGGCACATACAGTACTATATCAATTTGTCATTGAGGGAAATGCTGTTTATATTTTTTAATATTTTAAAATATAATATCTCTTTGTTGCTTTTTATCTGTTGAGTTCAACTCTGGTGGATTTGGACATACTCTGTACATTTTGCTTTTTCTTAAGACCCCTGGGACATTCATGCACAGGCTGCTAAAATATCTAAGTTTACTCTTTCTTCTTTTTTTTTTTTTGCTGTTTCAGGGGGAATGGGAAAACTACATCCTCCTCCTCCATAAGATAAATGATACCAACCTATATGTTTGTGGAACCAATGCATTTCACCCAGCTTGTGATTACATGGTGAGCCTTTTGATCGACTTAAGTACTGGTTTTAATTGCAGACTTATAAAATTGTTTGAATAGTAAGGCAATTTTAAAGAATATTTTCAAATAATGTCCCACTTGAAAATTAGTAGTAATTATTTTACTACATGTTTGGTCATTCTGAAACAAGTTGGGTAACTGCATTACATGCTTGCTTCATGGCTTGTGTACCTTCTGTCATCTTAGCAGAAACATTTACTTCTGCAAACGGTCATGGCCATTTCTTGTGGTGTAGCCTTATCTGTGTACACATATATGGGATTACATATCAGTTGAGTGCCTACAGCATAGCTGACACTGCGTGAATAGTAAAATGTTAACAATAAGCTGTAAATTGGTTGTATGCCATTTCTGTGTCAAAAGCATCTATAAAGATGAACTTTTTGTTTGAATATATTTCATTAGCAATAAGGCAATAGCAGACTACTTGTAAAGACTGAGAGCTTTACTTGCACCAAATATGAATTTTGCTCCTTGCTGCGTAGAAGAGCATGTATACCCAGATGTATACCCACAAATATAACATATTTATGTTATCCTTATCACTGGGAGACTAGGCCCTGATTCCCCTGAAAGGGACAGCCAACCTGTGATAAGGCGCTTTCATAATTCATTATTGAATTCTTCATTGGAAAATACTGACCAAGTACATTTTTGTACAAATATCCACATTGACCTATTCATACCATGGTTTTTCTCCTTTAATAGAAATTGTGTCAATCATTTCATTTGATCAGAAAGAGTTTTACTCTGTGGTAATGGCTCTTTACAACAGGTATTCAACAGTACAGATGCTCACCTGCAAGGGAAAGCTGAAGACAGCAAAGGAAAGTGTCCTTTTGAACCAACTCTGAAGTATGCTTCTCTACTAGTCGGTATGTGTGGGACTGCCATGCAAGCTAGTCAGATACTAATCCTTATTCTGCTTTTTCTTATTCATAAAATACCATCACCTCATTTGTTCTCTAAGACTGAGAGTAGGACACAGATGACATTATCGTTCGCAAAACTAGACAGAATTATTTTAATGCAGTTAAATATACATTTGCTTGTTGGCCCCATTGGCTCATTGATATCGGGGGGGGGTTTTCAGAAGGATGCAGTGCTGATTTTCTCTGTATGAATCTTTTGGCCATATCTGACTTTCTTTAATCTAACTGCTTACTTCTGAATTCCTAAGACTTCAAATGAATTTCAAGGTCATAAAGCCAAGGTGAAATGTTTCAGATGGGATCATCAGAAAGCCACATGGAAGAGATTTTCCTTCGTGGATAAAAACCATTTTCGCAACCCGAGTCAGTGTCTCTCAGCAACATTTGGAATTACCAGATGGATTCCCTCGGTCACTTCTTTGAGACTCCTCCTAGCCATTACTGGCTTTCGCTGTTCATTGAACATTTTGCCCGTTGTTACCTATGTTTTTAAGTGCTTTCAAATATTTACCTTTTGATCTTGCTGGGATTTTAAGTCTACATTGGCTTTTATCCGTGCTATCATCTCTTGGGCCTGTGCACAGCACACCCTGAAACCTGTTCAAGTGATTGGTCATGGGACCGACAAAAATCAGTTACTTGAAAGAGGTGATCTTTGAGCAGCGTGGTATGTTTGGAGATACTTGGTTGTTTCTTTTTATATATGAAGCTGCCTAAGAGGGATGCTGTTTTGTGTATGTGGTTCACCATAAACTATTATTGATGTCAGGTAGTAATGAGGATGAATAGAGAACTGCCAGAGCAATAGCTTTTTGCATTTTCCTTTTAAAGCTCTCAATACCTACCCTAGGAATACACAGATATTCTGAACAGTGACTATGTATAGAAGTTACATATTCAGAGCATTTCAGTTACAATCAAGCAGCTCAAAATTTCCAGCAAGCTGCCCTTCAGTTCATTTAATACAAATGTCTACAAAGCTGAGAAAACAAAGCAAGTGCTTAACTTCTTACTGTCTTCAGGACCTAATCTTGCATGCTTCTGAGTACCCACAACTCCTGGTAAAGGCATTTGGAGTTCAGGGCACTCAGCACTTCTCAGGACTCATCAGGAGAAAAAATTGTGGTCACATGCACTCTTCAGTTTTGCATGTAATATACTCATTTTAACTGATGACGAAAGTAAGGATTCTATGCACTTTTCCACTAAATTTACAGATGGTGAATTATATTCAGCTACTTCAAACAATTTCTTGGGTACTGAGCCTATCATACGACGCAGTTTGAGAAATCATTTGCGGACAGACTTTAAAACGTCATGGCTAAATGGTAAGAAGTTTTTGTGTGCGATTTAGCCCTTCCAGAGAACAAATTTCCACCTTGCTTGACCTTTTTTTAAAAAAAATAGACAAAAATAGAACTACATGCATTTTTCTTCACAATGCAGAGTGCTGATGTCCAATGCTTGTTACTGTCATTTATAAACTGGAACATCATTTAAATCTTACTATAAATGTAGCTGCCATTCTTGAGATATTTGTCAAAAAGTGATATAGGTTATGATTCTGGGAGTATAGCAACCGAATATTGAATCATAATTGCATTCGGTCTTGTTCAATACCAGTTTAAAATTTATTTATGAATATGAAAGATATTAAAAAGCAAAGTTTTTCTGGTCATTAAATAAGTATCACAGCAAGGCAGAAATTGTAATGAGATTTCATAACAAGTGATTTACCATGGAGTAAAGAGGCATGGGGCTTTACCACATATCACCTGCTCTGTAGAAGCTATACTGTAGGAACTCGCCCCCTTTCACAATAATCTGCTGAGACAAACTAGCAAAGCATACTAACTTCTACTACTTAAAAGAGTAAAAGCAAACAGGCTGCAAGTAGGCACATGTCAGAATGGATTTTGATGCTTGTTCAACACTTAAGTTCTCAAGCCACTTTTGTGGGAGCTGGTACAGTTTAGTACATAAACTTTTGTGTGTCCTAAATTTAAGAAAAGACTAAACTGCTAAAAAAATAAATAAATCAAATGTTGATGTTGAATTCCTTGCTTTCACCAGTTTGCCTGAGGTTTGAGATTATTGCTCTTATTTTTAACTCACTTCATCTTGCAAAAGTATATTATAAACTCTCTAGACATCAAAACCTACACCCATTCTAGGCACGTGCACGCTTTTGTGGAATGGCATTTCTAGTATTTTTGCTTCGCTATTTTTCACAAAAGCACTTTATTCCATGCATTCCTTGCTTCATAACACTGGGAAAGAAATCAGATTAACCCATAAACCTTTCCTTGAAGAAACAAAAGTTCTCGTGTAGCATTACTGCTAATACATTTCCTCTTTTTTTTAAAAATAAAAATAAATTAATGTGAGTTTCAGCATACTTCTTGCTTCATGAAATTAATGCCTGCTGATTTCTCTCTGGGTAGAAAATTTGAGCTTCTAAACAGAGATCAATTATTAAAAAAAGGACTGCTTAATACAGTATCAGTTAAGGATTAACATAGAAAGGCAATCCACAGTCCATTTTCACTCATGCAGACATACCTTTTTTAATCTTTTGATAGGATCTATAATAAATATTGTCTGTGATCTTATAGGTTATTTCCAGTATTTTCCTTGTCTACTGTTCCAAAAAACCCATTATTTTACTCCATTTTTAATAATGTTTGATAGTCATGTTGCTTTCTACATTAGAAAAATGAGAGCATTATGTGTTCAAATATTTCAGAGCCCAGTTTTGTCCATATGGATATAGTGAAGGAAAGTGAATCAAATCCAGATGGAGATGATGATAAAATGTATGTGTTCTTCACTGAAACTGCTGTTGAATTTGAATTCTACGACAAGCCTCTTGTGTCAAGAATTGCTCGTGTTTGCAAGGTGAGTCTTGGTGGTTAGGTCATTTGTTTTTAAGTATACAGATATTTTAGACGACTCCTCAAACCAAAGTGAGCAAATTGTACCATCCGCCTTCTATTACTGAACTTTGTTCACTTTAGTCTGTCTCTTCTGAAACAGATTTTCAAGTCGCTGTGATATTCAAATCTCTCTCCATTGGCCTTGAACACTGAGGTTTATAGAGGCCGGCTGGCCAAACCCTTGGCTGTGTTAGTATTATCCAGCCTGTTTATGGGAGTGAAATGATGTTTGTCTACAGTGCTGGTATTTTTCCTTTATACAGGGTGATCTTGGAGGAAAACGCATATTACAAAAAAGATGGACAACATTTTTAAAATCCAGACTTGTCTGTTCTGTTCCAGAATTAAATTTCCAGTTTAATATTCTTCAGGATGTCTTTTTACTTAAGACAGCAGGCTGGCAAGAAACAATTTTTTATGGGATATTTACTCAACAATGGTAAGATACAAGAAATGCATCTATAACTGATATTTTGAAGCAGTTTTTCAAAATGGATGTTGCATCTATGTACTTGGATTTGTTTCAAAATTGTTGTAAACTCGAATGTAAAAGTATTCTGGCACTCTAATTGCTATTGCATCAAACTGCTTCTTCCCAAAGAAAATTCTCCCTTAGGCATTTTTTCATAAATATTTCATTTTCGGTGCACTAAAGATCAACGTCTTGGCCAGTAGTGTCTCTTGGGACCAAGAACACTTTGACTGTCCTCAGCCTGGGCAGGGTGGGCCCAGTTACCCCATAGCTACAAGGTGGAGCTCCCCCATGTCTGTGCCCTGATGCATTCCTTTTACCTAATTTTTATTTTAGTGTCTGGGGGAGTGTCTGTGTTCAGCGAGGAGTGCAAGACATTCAAAGTACATCTGTATGACACAAGGCAGGTTGGTGAGCACTGGCTTCCAAACCAGAAGCCGTACAGCCATGTTAGTGCAATACTTGTGCAAAGCTTCTTAGCAGGGTTTATTGGCCCGTGCACTGTGCTGTATTGTTTCTGGTTCAGGAGCTAGAGCACACGTAGCTAGCACAGCGTGTCACAGAGTGATAAGATATCGGTATTCTCAGAGGGTACATTATGGCCGAAAGACTGATAGCAAGCACTGGAGCACCAGTGATGGTGTGTGCATGTAAGTGCGTGTGTAATATCTATATGCACACCAGATCTCAAAGGAGTCTGGTTACTGTAAAGGTGAACAACATGCTGTCACTGGGGTAGGGACTGCCCCCATGTGTTTGTTTGCTTGTGAGGCCTGAGACCTTGGGTAAAAGGATTTGTGTGCATAGCTTGTTTACTTCCTCCTAGTCATTTGGGTCATAGGTTTGGATCTATTGCTTCCAGCAAGTGCCCTAGCAATTCCAGGAACTATTTTGAATAGGAAGACTATATGTTCACTTCCTTCCTTCCAGTTGTGGCTGTCTCCTGTGAGTGCAGATGCCACTCAGAACTGAGTAATGAGCTCTTTAGTGTTATTGGCCTGATTGCAACCATTTGTCTGTGACTAAGAGTAAGAATTGATCAGCCATTCCACGTATTTCAGTAGACTGCACTTCTTTTCATTTACAGTGCCATCCAGCTGAGCCAACATTACCATCTTAGGAAGGTAGATGTTTGTGTTATGGGGGCCAAAGCTTTTAATGGAAGGCTAATCCTAGTTCAGACACTTGGGGTTATGCTTGCTCCCTCCAGTTGGTGGAGAAAATGAAAATGACATCATTTAGCACTTAGATCGAAGCCTTCATTTCCACTGCTGCTTCCTTTACTAAATGAAACAGCTGGCACTCTAAGGTGCATGATAAGCAGTGCCCTACTGAAAGGAAACCACTGCCATCTGAAGTACCCTTATTCCAAAAGCAGCACCTGTCAAGGCCTACTGTCTATGATAGTGTTTTGTGAAAATAAAAACAGGCCTCCCGGATATTTTGTTACATGTAAAACATGTCAAGGTTTGCTTGATTTCACTTATATACATATATACATACATGTATAGGTGTGTGTGTGTGTATATACACATACATACATACATACATATATATATATATATATGTATATATATACGAAGGGGCATAAGCAGTGTACACGAGCAGTCAGAGTTTGCTGATCAATGGCCACAAGTCACAAAGAAAGCACGAGGGGATAGCTTTGGTGGGTTCTGCTGACTTCAGAAGTCTGCAGTGGATGTTATCTAGACTGGTGCGTGTTTGCCACACTCCTGTTTCCAGGTCAGTATCTGTCCTCTGTAACTTGCACCACCCCTATTTATCTCACTGCAGGGTCTATGCCGGCATGTGCTTACATATACAAATCTGCATGGGAGTCATGTTAAAAATCACAAAATATTCTCCTTTATCTTGTAGAAATAAACACTCAGCATTGTTGAATACAGTTCAACAAATCTTCTTATTTACATAGCCTGGTTTCTACCAGGGCTGCTACAAGCATTTTCTGCAAGGATCAGGGATTGGAGCACATGCTGCGTTCAGTTAATATGTGTAACTCTAGGGTAACTCTGTTGACTTGCTTGATTTACACTGGTGTGACTGAAGCCATTCCAGAGCTTTGAAAATACTAACATTGGATGCAAGGACTGAAAAGAGAGGGGAGAATTTTCTGTATAAAAAGCAGAGAGCCAGAAGGGAGAAGGCCCAGTAGATGCTGCCCAGCCGTGATCCTTAGGCCTGTCTGGCTGCTGTCACCAGTCATTATCAGTGCAAAGAACTCGTCTAAGGTGTGCATCTCCTAGGCTGTTTGGATTGATTAGGCAGATAACAGTGAAAGGATAATAATAATGAAGGACAATAACAAAATCCTGTACAAACTACCCTCGTTCTAGGCCCTTCTTTGTGAATCCCAAGAACAAGAAGAGATGTTTTTGTTCACAGATATATTTTCAGTAAATCTGATAAGAAAATAGTGTGAAAAGCGAGTTGTGTTTTACAGCCTTCCTTTACACAATAAAAGGTCACATAACACATCTTTTTCTTTTTACCCTCCAAGGGGAAGACTGGACATTTCGTCCGTGTGTGCGTACAGTATGGAAACAATTCAGGAAGTTTTCTCCAAAGGAAACTACAAAGGACCAGTAACTATGGAGCATTCCCATGTCAAATGGGTGGTGTACGGGGGTGAAGTGCCAATTCCGCGTCCTGGGGCTGTAAATACTACTTTATTTTTCTGTTTAAATTAAACTCTTTTGGTTTGGCTCATTGTAGTCTAATTTTCCCCCCAACCCAGGTCTGGGTCCACATTAGTCCCTCTGATATGCCATTTTCCCTACTCCACGCCACAACAGGGCGTAAAAGCTGGTTCTCAGCACCTGGATGAATGTCACTCTAGGGACAAAAGTTTAGAGCATGGTAAATAGTTGTCTTGTACATTGGTTCATTACAAAATGGTTGTAATCAGCTTTGTTGTATGTTGTTTCTAGTGTATTGATAATTTCGCCCGAAGTTTTGGATACAACATTTCACTTGATTTGCCCGACAAGATTCTGCAGTTTGCTAGAGACCACCCGCTAATGGATAATGTTGTAAACCCAGTTGGTAACTGGCCAGTGCTACTGAAAAGAGGTTCAAATTATACCAGGATTGTAGTAGAAAGAATCGTTGGCCTAGATAAAAAAGCATACAACGTTATGTTTATAGGAACAGGTAAGTGGTTTTCTTTTAGAAACAAGAAACTGAATTTTTTATAGGTCTAAAATCTATTTTGTTTTAGAACTTATTCCTGAGCTTTTAACAAGTACAAGGGTCCCACCAGCCCTTATTCATGCATCACAAGTTCTTCATCTTAATTTACCATACAGCAATACATCAAATAGCAAGACGACGGGAAATTTTATGTATTACATCTCTCTTCTCTAATTACTTGTCTAATTTGCTTTACTTCCCTAGTGCTAGATAGTCTCTGTTTTGTGAGGGCAAAATCTGTCTCATTCAGCAAAACACTTAATACTTAAAGGCAGTGGGACTTAAGTGCTTTGAACTGTGGCCATTGCTTATAGTTATTGCGGCATTTGAATGATGTTCCCTTGTCCTTGCTTCCTTGTTATTAGCATTATTTAAGACTTTTTTTTTTCTTTGCACTCCTTTGTTCCTGTCAGGAAGCCTTCAATATGATGCCATTTTCTTCTTAAACGTTTCTAAGGTATAATTTATAAGAAGGTGGCATTTATTTCAGTACTTTCAAAAGATTTGTAATAGAAATGTGGTCAGGCTCTCAAAAGGTCTTCCATAGGACCGTAGCTGCGTACAGGCCTTGTGCTGTCTCCCAGCACACGTGACTCTCACTCAGGATGAGAGGACCTCTAGTCAAGGGTATAAAAGCTGGGAATTTCTTGGAGGAAAGGATGAGATTTTTGCTTAAGTGCTTGGTGTGTAGAAGCTGACTTGCTAGTCTGGAATTTCCATCCTGCTCCTGGATGAAGTGTTAGATAATAAGAGGCCTCTGGAAATTTCCCATATTTAGAGGAATGTAACGAAATCTTCCAAAATCAAAATCCTGCTTTTCTGAGATAAATCATCACCACTACTTTACAGAACGATGAGCAAAAAAAAAAAAAATTGATATAGAATAACTTGGAACTTTCCTATCTCCAAGACTTGCCTAAAGCAATAGATAAGACTGATTAATTTTAAAATTGAAGATATTGTTGTTATGTTTGCACACATTTGTCCTTAAAAGTGCATTTCCTTTCACACAGATAATGGATATTTGCATAAAGGTCTTAACTGCAATGGAGAGATGTTCATTGTGGAAGAGAGACAGCTGTTTCGGTCTCCTGAACCTGTACAGTCTCTCAAGCTCTCTTCCAGGAAGGTAAAACTTCTGTTGGTGCCTATGCAAAGTTTGTGCTGTTTTGAGATGCCTCAGACGTATTTTTCACTGGTCATTTGACTTCCTCATGTTCTGTAAAAAGCTCTGCTCTGCACTGAACCATAGATTCACAGATGCCAGGGTCGGAAGGGACCTCAACAGATCATTGAGTCCGACCCCCTGCCTGGGCAGGAAAGAACGCTGGGGTCAGACGACCCCAGCCAGATGCCTGTCCAAATAATCACAAAAATTCAAGTTTTTGTCTGTGACAATAAGACTCTTGTGTATATCGAAACAACAGAAACAAGCATTCATATATTCATCAGCAGTTCCCAGAGTATTCATAGACATGAGTCTGGTCCGGTCAGGCACTCTTGTCTTTTCATGCGTTCTGTAGAGCTCTGTGTATAGTCACACAATCTTTATTTAACAATGTCATAATCTGTTCTTGCAAAATATATAATTAATTTATGATTAAAAATCAGAAATGGCCACCATGTGTTTAACAAACTTTTAAAACCTAAAGCAGTGCTATAACATAGGTAAGCACTCAATATCCTGCTTTTGTAGGGCCTGCTGTACGTGGGGTCTCCATCCCAAGTGGTTCAGGTTCCAGTTTCACTCTGCCACCAGTATCAACATTGCTTGGATTGTGTGTTGGCGAGGGATCCCTACTGTGCGTGGTCTCAGGCTTCTGCTGCTTGTGTTCCTGTGGCTAAGCAGATTGGTGACATGCAGTAAGTAAAGATATTTTACTTCAGCTCTATAATAGAGCTGAGACTTATCTTGCTTTCGAAATACTGCTCCAACAGTCTATAAGGCAAAACCAGGCCGGACCCGAGAGCTTACGAAATGAAAGTTTTTAAACCCTCATAATGTATTTCTTATTAATCTCTCTTTCAGGAATTTAATCCAGAGCATTAAATATGGGGATGTTTCCAAATGTCCTAGTTTAGGTACGTGAATATTTATCTTTTAAGAAAACACTTTTGAAACACTGTACAAAATGAAAATAAGTAATCTGCCCTATACGTCATATATCTATGGTCATTGAAATGTTTGATCTCTTAGCTAAATTATATTTCAAACAGTCCAAGGTTAAAAGTGAGTGGGCTTTTTGAACCAGGAAAGGCAAAAACAAAATTGAGTTGCTACCTCCTGCCTGTTCTTAACCCCTTTGAACTTGAGATCAAGATATTTTAGTTCATAATGAAACCATTCATCTCAGGGGAAGTGTAAACATGGCCTGTGATTTTGGAGCTGGTTGGTATTCCCCCTCTCAAGCTGCAAAGTGACATGTGGACTATAAGATGTTTTGTTAACTATCACTGTGACTGGCACTTGGTATGGCTTGGCAGAAATAACATTCAAATAATCAACAATTTTTAGCAACAGCAGTGAAGGGAGAGATGTAAAGGATTCATTTATAATTAATTTTTAAAGAGAGATTAGGAAACAAGTTAGTTTTACTGTGAAAACAGAACTGACAACTTTTTCCAGTGACTTTTCTAGACTGTTTAATTTTGTTTCCGTTTGCAAACAGCAGTTCAATGTTTTAGAGAAAATGAAAAGATTGTATGTTAATAAGTTGACGGGCCTTTCTGGCTGCCAGGAGCTGCTGTTTTAACTACATAAAGCTCACTGTTGCCTTCTCTACTTTGCGACTCTCCCAGCTTCCTTAACAAAGCTTTCAAACCTAGATACAAGAGTGGCCTGTAGCCTTGTGCTTGAAAGGTGACATACTATTGGTATGCATTAGGTAATGATTAGATTTCAGCAGAGCATTTGTTCTGGAATAAAGCCAAATTTTGAATGTATTCTTAGTCCTCAGGCAAAGGCCAAGCTCTTCAGCCCATGAACCACTACTATAATCAAATAATACATGGACTTAGAAGTGTTGTTGCTTTTCTTGTTCTTTTTTTTTTAATTCATGTTCATTTGACTTCAGTTTTGTCAGTGCATGGTGATCATATTGAAATTGCAAAAATGTCACAAGTTTTAGTTTGGCTGTGGATGTTGAAAGAGGAATATTAAAGTATAATAAAGCCTTTAAACTGCGAAAGGATTAAGGATTCCTGATTTACAGAGAGAATCCAAGATGAAAATCCTTAGTGCTTTCTTTCAGGCCCTGATTTTGTAAACTTTGCACTGAAAACTCATAGCTAATGCATGTTGTGGGACAGTACCATACGGTGCTAGTCGAAGAGTGCTTATATATCGCTTTATATCCCTAAAGCATTGCACAAGTACAGTCTAAATCTAATAACGCTTCTATGAAGCTATATCACTTTACTGGGGTTGACACTAACACATGCTCAAAACTGCATACCGCGTGATCGTGTGGCAAAGTCAGAATTAAAACCTGGAAGTTTCTGAATTCCAGGCACATATTCAGTCTATTAAATATGACTGGAATAGGGCCAGCAAGATGCACATTCTCCTATTTTGCTCTCTGGCAGAAGTGTAGGAGACAGAGCTGTGGATTTCCTTTTTTCCATTCCTATACCTTAAAACAGTCCTCCTTGTTGTGCTGTTTAAAGCTGATGTCACTCCAAGCATATGTTCAGCCATGCAAGTTAAATTAAGACTTGGTTGTGTTTAATTAAAGTAACATTCACGATTTCAGGAAACAATGTTGGAAGGTATCCCGTTATCCTTGGAAGCCATGTTAATCTTAAGTGCGTGACCCTGTCCAACCTGGCTAGCACAGTGTGGAAGTTCAATGGGAGGAGACTTCAGGCAGAAGATTCTAAATACCTGCTTTACGATGGAGGAATAATTATATTTAATGTGACAGGAGCCGATGCTGGATTCTACGCGTGTCAGTCTGTAGAGAGAGCCAACGGGAAACAATTCCCTATTACTGTGGCTAGCTATGTCCTTTATAGTCAGCAAGAGAGTGCTTTCATTCTTCCTAAAAGTTATACAACAAACCAACTAAATGATAAAACAGCAACCACGAATACTAAGCCTTTGGTGCCATCGTCCTTGCAGAAGGATCCAGCAAAAATGAAAGCTCTGGAAGACCAAAAAGAGGACCTTGTTGTAAAAATCTTGGGAGCAGGTTTTGCACTTCTGTTTTTTTGCTTGCTAGTTTGGAACTTTTGCAAGGGGCATTTACGTTTGCCGTGGAAGGGCCGAGAAAGAAGCTCAAAAACAGCGGATGTCGATTGTTCAGCAGATCCAGCATTGGCAACAGATGGGCCAGGCACTGCGAGGAGAAATTTGGCCATACAAACTAATACTTCCGCTTCTAATGAATCGATCCCGCTCGTGTACTCCCTCTCAGAAGATAAATACAGTACAAATGTACAACACAACACCAGTCTCACAAAAAGGGTACCTGGAAGTTGCAGCTCACAAAACTGTTTGGTTCAAGATGACGTGGCATTTCCTACGAAGGAATCTGGGTTGTAAAGTTTGGGTTGGAGTCAGGAGCCCCAAATCCATTGAGACGAGCAATATTGTACATGACAGAAGCCCATTTCCAGTTACTGCTTTTGGAAAAAACCCCATCAAATGCATTTCCAGTACCCTTTTGACATGGTGGCATTGCAAGAATAAACATTTCTGCAGTTGTTACTGAGCCTTTACTGTTGTGTTCTCCTGCACCATTATAGAAATTAACACTTCGGAATCTAATAATAATACTTAGCGCTCAAAATGTGCCTTCACCTTCAGAGTTTATCGATGTAATCTACAAATAGTAACTAATTAAGTCTCCTAATGCCCCTGTGACGTAGTTATTATCTTTCTTATACTGATGAGGTTAAACAACTTGTCCATGGCCACAGAGAGAATCAGTGTCAGAGCTGTGGATAGAAAGAGTTCCTAGCTCATTTTGTATGATCCTACCATTGACCACCAACCCTTCACTTTACCACCTTTTCAAAGCACTTTACATGCTTTAAATTTAAGTTGCTGATGAATTTTTAATGACTTTTACAATGTCTCTCTCCCAACCCCAAAAAGCCTTGTGACCCAGTTTGTGTACCGCATAGCCACTGTGAATTGATTTGCCTTGGAGCATGGCCAGAATTCAGGTACCAAAACCCTTGGCTGCTGAGCATATTTGGTTGAACCAATTTTTTTTTTTATTAATGCTTCTAATGTCTTCATGTTTGGAGGATAATCTGGGATCTCCAGCACTGAAATCCCCGAACAAAAGGCTGTGCTCTCTCTGTCTCTCTCATACACCAGAGACAAAGTGTAAGGCCGGTTCTGCACTCCCAAACATGCACAGCTTGTTTTCTCTGTTCTCAAGTAGCCCTGGAAGCTGAAGTCCATCTGGAAAGCATGCAGAAGTACTGCTCTGCTGTACCATCAGACCCACTTTCAAATTAATTGAAAAGGATGCTTGGAAACCAATTTGGTGCATGCATTATAGCCAAATAGAAAAAAAAAAGAGACCAAGTAAATGTCATTTAACGTACCCTTCTGACTATGTAACACAACTGGATTGAAGTGTTTTTACACGGAGAGCGAGAGTATCTCTCTTTTCATGCATTCTTATTCCTGTGGATCAGACTATCTTTAAAACAGATGTGCGTTACACAAGGCCTTTTGATGTATACTGTTACATGCAAATACCACAGAAACAGGGGCCAGCTCTTGAAACTTTCTAAAAGCTGCGAGCACTGTTCAGTTCCCTTCCCAGATCTCTTATGTCTGGCATTTTTTCAGATACTAATTAATGCATTAATAATATTGGCACTTTTCTTGGAAGGATGTAAAGGTGGGAATACTCTGCCTTTTGAGTAAGACTAAGTCATGTGGAGCATGGTGAGGACATGAGAATTGCATATAAAAATGGACAGCTGAAAACGAGGAAGTTGAACAGCTGCTTGCAAACCATACTACTGAGGACTGTCTGACTGCAGTCACCCAAGGTATCGGTAAAATGCAAAAAGCTAGACCAAAGGTGTGTATTTTGGCCAGTGATTTGAACAGGATTCGGTTTGTCTTTTGGCAGTGTGTGCTCTTGGCTATATTCTGAATGGCTTTATGTAAAGAGCTCCATTAAGATTAATGGCGCAGACTTGACAAAGGCCGCGTAATTAATGACATGGGTGGTGATCAAAATATCTCATCTCATTTCTTTTCTCTTCTTCAGGTCAGGGGACACTTCCCCCGCCCCTCCTTGCTAGGAGGAGGGACAGATAGAGCACAAAACCCTGTTAAAGAAAATCCTCATAAGGCTACTAACATTTGATTTCAGTTCAATTCCT